AATGTTGTGGGAGTAATTTCAAAAGGATAGTTGTGATGAAACATGGTAAAAATGACAAAAAAAGTAACCATGGCTCAGTGGATGTAAGTTGCCACACGCATATGATAGAATTTGCCATGTTTGTGAGTCAGAGGACGTAGACATCTAGAAACTGTGATTTATCAGAAAAATGTCAAGCTACTGCTCTACCACACACCCAAGGATTGGCTAACACAAATAGTCCGCCACCCATGCTCTCCCTAGAGCCAAAACCGTCACCTCTGTCAGTCGCCGGAAACAAATGACGGATGGAGTCATGGAACCCACTCACCTAGCAGCCCACCACTGATACGCCGCCTTGGGGCTGCACTAGATCTGTGTCTTTGGGATGGTTGGAGCATGAAAGGCATCGAGCGCGCAGGCGGGAGCACCGACTCGCTACCACGACGCTCATACCAGGCGTGTTGCAGGCCTCCATCGACAGGCTGCCGCGCCTAACGCTAGCGAGCCAGGATCCCCGCTCCTCACGCCGACGATGCGAGTGGCCAACAACAGGATTGCCGACTGGTGAGTAAGAATCCAAGGATGAAGGGGTGAGGGTGGCGTTGCTTCAGAGCGGGCGAGAAGAAGATGAGCAGAGGCCGGCGAGTACCTAGAGAGAGAAGCGGAGGCGCGCGAGCTGCCATTCCATGGCCATCGGATCTGGCGCGTGATGCAGATCAGCGAAGCTACGGATGAGAGGTCGCCATGGGCAGCAGGCCAGGGCACCACGAATATGCCCGTCGTCAACGACGGCCGGCTGGTCCCCGGCCTCCCCCTCCAACCTCGGCGACGTGGAGGCGGACGGTGAGGTGTCGACTCCCGGCCTGCCGCTGCGCGCGCCCAACCAGCTCTCCAGCTCGACGCTCCCTGCCGCCTTCATCTCTGGAAACGGCAATGGGAACCGGCCTCCCCCACCAACCTCGGCAAAGCGAAGGCGGTCGGCGAGGTCCCACGCGGTGATGGAGATTGCAGTGGGAGTGGCGAGAGTGACGAGGAGAGAAGGCAGTGGGAGGGGAACAGATAAATCGTCCGGGCGAAAGCGTCAAGTGCCACACGTTCGGGCGAACACTCTACCACCCGCACGCCTCAATATGCATACGTGGCACGGGAGATGTCGGCTGATTCCTGTAAGATTCGCGCACTGCAAATCAACGGTGATTAGCGCGTGTGGGCGAGATGCAAACGCCCATACGTGTGGGCTTTAGTATTTTCAAAAAGTAATAAATCCACGCTTGATTCTTAAATCTTTTGTCATGTCCTTGGTCGAACGTGTCGAAACAAACTTTTCTTGTTGCCGTGCAAGGAAAACCACATCGGAAAGCATCGGCTGTCATTAATTAATTGCAAATAGGTGATTGTAGACCCCAGGGTGCTAACCAGAAACATCGAACTTGATTTTTTTTCTTTAGAAAAGGAGGATGACCCCCGGCCTCTGCATCTGGGCGATGCATACGGCCATTTTATTAATTATTTTCACAAGACCTTACAAAGTCATACAATAGCAAGACTAAAGCCACTTTCTAAGCAATAACTGTCGCTACACCTATCCAATCGATGAAGGGGCGCTAATAGTCTGGGCATAATACCAAACAGACATCACAACCAAACCTAAACATCTAAGACCTGAGGTCCCAACCAGGACGCCTGCCGGGTATGGGGCACCTACCAGTCCGGCGCACTCCTCAACCAAGACGCCTGCCAGGTATGAGGCCGCCGCAGCCACCTGCCACCAAACCATCTTCAGAGCTGTACTGTTGCATCTACCTTGCACAATCTAGCTACCGTCGACGCCACCACGACGCCAGATAGCTCCACCGCTCTGCGCTCGTCCATCCCGACGCGGACACTCTGAAAGATCTGTCGTGCGTAGCACCTGCCGACTAGGCATGACTCAGCGTAGCACCTGTCTGTCAGGCATGACTTGACATCTGATGCGGTTAGAACGCTGCTCCTCCTGCCAACCTCCACACCATTGCTGCTGTTGGATCTGACACGCAAAGAACTTCACCCATAGCAACTCTCCCCCGAACGCCCAAGCCTCCCAAGACGGCGCCTCCATGGAGGTTACGACGCAAAGGGCGCCGTCGCCGTCCAATCCAAGACGGATTTTGGACTTTCGTCCGGGAAGGGGACGGAGGTGGATAGGAGGGACCTCGACTTCGCCTTCAAGATGGGTAACGACGTCAAAGCCATCGCCGATGCCGGGCCGAGCTAGCCGACCAAAGTTTCCTCTGGTCCTCTTCCTGTACCACCAATCTCCATCTGCTTCGGATCTGGCAGCAGCCAAGACCCGAAAACTCCAGGGGGCAGCACCATAAGGCTCAACACCTCCGGCATAGATCCATCCAGGCGCCGGATCAAAGAAGACCCGACCTGATCAGCGACGAAATCCACCATCCTGCGCTGGCCGACGGCGATCAGGCGCCGGATCCAGAAGGATCTGACCCGGGACCCACGGCGCACGCGACCACCAGATCCAGCGGCCGCACCACGCCGCGAGCACGAACCCCAACCGTCGACGCGCTGCGCACGTCGCGGCCAGGATCCATCTGCAGTGCCGCCGCACCCCGCAAATGTCCGGCGCCTCCTCTCGAGCGGCCGTCCCGCGCCAGCCTATTCGCGCGAAGGGGAAGGGAGGCCCGTCGCCGCCTCTGCCGGCCAGGCTTTGCCCGGCGGCGCTGTTGGCGGCGGCGAGGATGAAAGAGATGCGGGGGCAAACATCGAACTTGATGGTGAAACCGAACATTTGCTGTACATATTTTCTCTCCAAACGGAGGTAAATTGGTCTCACATGGTTAACAACATTTAGGTGGAATACTGAGCCCGTTGCCATCTATGTACAGTATCATATACTCCCTCTGTTCCGATTTATTCGTCGTGGTTTTAGTTCAAATTTGAACTAAAACCACAACGACTAAATCGGAACGGAGGGAGTAGAACAAGGAGTTCAAAACATACCATGTTTTATACCAGCTTAAATTTTCAGACAATTAGCACTAGTTCGATTTCGGACAGTTCCAATAAGAGCAGTGCATGATCTCCCTCACTTGTCGTCTCTATTTGTCGAGGTCGGCAGTGGACAGTGATACGGGAACATGCACACCTGATCCAAAGCTGCACTATAAAACTGCCCCTGGCTCTGTTCAATACGAATTTCCTATGTTTCTTTGTAGTTTCCTGTCCGTCCTGTATAATGCCGGCTACCTTTCCATTGCCACCATACCAAGATCGTCGAAAATCCTGGAAATTCCACCAGCACTCCTTGCACAGAATCATAGCAGCCATGAACTCCCAAACCTTTCTCGCCCCCTTTGTGTCAGCATGATTACATAAAGAATCAAGCAAGCTACAAGACTTATAATACACAATGTGCGCGTACTTGGTGTTGGACAAAGTCGCAGACGCAGAGACATCGGGATACCTTTGTCTTGCCTTTACTTTGCATGCTCATGGCTCTGACCGCCTCGCACTTATCATATTCCCCTCGTGCCGTATCAACGTCATTCCAGCACAATTCTATTCAATTATCTGCCATCATTCGCCCACACGCACACGCACACACACAGGCCGTCCACAAGTTCTTGTTTTCTGAGAGAGCTTGATGGATGTATGGATGGATGGCAAATGGCAATTCTCAGCAGCGTGGCCTACCGAGATGCGTATAAATCTCTGTAACATCACATGATGCAGCAATCAAGAGAGCAACCCTTCTGTTTTTAGTCTTTTGCGCGCTCTTTGGGTTCTCTGAATTGGAAGTACCTCTCAGCGTGTTGCTGGTGTAATAATTCGACACGGCACGGCACGGCACAGCGCTGCATGATTTGGATTACGGCCATCGATTCTTTTAGGTTGTGCCTAGGCTTAGCTTCCTCAGAGCAATCATTATTCAGAGTGCTTGATAGGACATGCTTTCATCCGTCTCCCCCTTAACCCATTTGGTCTTCCTGCTAGTCGCTGTCTCCGGCGAACAGCGAAAGGGTCAGAACGCACGCAATGGTGTTTTTCTTGCCGTGACAGTGATTATTCCAAACTGCACTGTTGTTTCTTCAGGCCATTCGTCTGTCCTTACCAGAAGGGTACTGACATGTGCTGGTTCGAGGTCTCGGTTTTAGTAGATTTTGGAACCATCTTGCCTGAATTGCATCGTCTTGTCAAATGTCAACGGATAAAAATCACTTCTGCCAAACCCATGTTTAGTCATGGCTGAACAGAAAACAGAAGCTGGTGCCAAACAATATAAGTATAACCTGCAACACGATGCTGGTAGTATAAAAATGGCACCATTAAAAGGGAGACGTCGATGGATAATGCAGCGGTCGCCTCTCTGCAAGGGAATTAACGGCCCATAACGTGTCGCGTCCCTTGTTGGGGTTCGCCCGGTTTTCTGTTAAGTGTCAACTTCGGCCATGAAAGAAACCCTGCAAGTTGCGCCTGTCGTGCTCCTCCATTACTCTGCCCCCACAAATTGCCTTGAACATATTTTTTGTTGCTAATTGGTCCCCTTCATTTCGCCATACCAGATAATAACACAAGAAATGAGTAAGGCACATACCGAAATTCGGTCGACTTAACATCACTGTTGAATAGCAGGTGACAGCTAATTAAAGGACATATGAACGACAGAGAAACCGGATATTTATATATGGTTGATTGAAAAGTAAACCCCTCTTGCTCCATCGTTTCTCCGAGCTTGCGAGAATTCAGCGCAATCGACATGCAACATGTACAGAAAACATTCAGACTTTCAGAGGCTTGTGACGCGCTCTGCAACTGAAATCCTCGCTCTTTTTCCCGGAGAGTCGACGGGCAGGGGGATGGGGGTGACTGACTGATGCCTGGCATCAGGCATAGTTGCCAGACTGACTAATTAACACTATTACCACAGGGTACTTACTTACTGAACCGGCCCTCCTCCTCATCTTGTTATTATGGACCGGTGCCACCAAACCCAGCTGCATCCCATGTCGTCCTCAGGGTCTCTACTGCGCCGCGGCCGCGATCGACGACGATGACCGGCTGGGCCACGCTGAGGGCGGCCTCCAGGAGGCCGTCTGCTGTTGCTTGCGCCTCTTGGGGTCCTCGAGCTCCGACGTCAGCATCTCGAACATCACCTGCACGTCCTTGTATCCACAGGTCTGCACGTCCTCATGAAGCTTCAGTATGCTGCCTCCACCGCCTGCACGCACGAACGCACGGGTTGGTTTCAGATAAGGGTTTTGTTGTCACTGTCATGGGTTTCTCCCCACACTTTGCTAGTGGAGAGGAAAGCAGGAGCTATGCTATGATTTTTTAGCAACATGGTGACTTTATTAACTAAAGAAAGATATTATATTTGGTTGAATGAACTCAAATAAGCGCGAGTACACGACAAGTTGCCTTATAAACGCTTTTCATGTCACCATCTCCTACTTCACCTTTCTCGTCTTGGCGTTCCTTGACAAATAAATGGTGAACTTAGCAAGTTGATTGGGCTCTAAGAAAGTGTTGTTCCTCCAGGTCCATTCCTTTCTTGGCAGGTCGAACAACTTGGCAACTGGCGGCATGGGCCTAGCACAAATGGCAAAGCCACTAAGGCCCGTGTACTAAAGTTGTATCTATTAATAAGACCTTGGGGCCATAAACAATAATGGGCTTCCACTTCCACCACTGGCGATATCACCGAAGCTGCCGAGTCAAGGGTGTCTTTTATTCTTCTGGATAAAAAGGCGAGCCATCTAAAGAACACAACAGCATACATATATAGCATTATTGGCACCACACAGAAACACCAGAAGCTATCTAGTCTAGACAAAGAAAAAACTCCCAGAAGAGGAAGTAAAAGATGAAGTAGCATCTCATTCCCATCTCACCCCCAGCAAAAAAGGAAGGTAAAAAAGTGAAACCAACGGGGTAAAGGGAGACATTCGATATTCTTCTACCGCGAAATCCACGGCTAAACGCACCCCGCCATGCATCCTTATCTAGAAACCGCACGCGCCTTTTCCTCAGCCAAGAACATTCGCCCCCTCGGATTCTCACCACGAAGCTTCTTCGCCTCCTTCTCCACTACCTAAAACTTTACCACAAAGGCGCACGGCACACATGAATATATACGCCCTTTATTCCCAGCCGCAAGCGAGAACGATGGAGCGCCGTAAGTTCACTGACACGGCGACGTGTGGCTTTTTTTTATGGGATGGCAATGCATACCATGGTGAGTGACGTGACTCCATGTTGCTGCAACGGACGGCTGGGGACAAAAAGGAAAGGAGATAGCTCCACAAAGATACAAAACAAAATGTAAAGGTTGCCTTCGGCTATTGGCCGGCTATCATCACCCCGATCTCCAAAAAAACTGCTATCATCGCACTGTTCCAACAGAAAAAGGATGTAGGAGCCATGGGTGGCTCCGGTGGCCTGCGGCGTTCTTCCCCGGGCCCCCGGTTGATTCGTGCATACGATCATTGTGCCTACGAGTACTGGTATTACAACACAGTGTCCTACGATGATCCTGCCATAGGTCCATGATCATAATTAAGCTCGAGTTCTAGACAAGTTGGTGGACACTATCTCCCAATGATTGTGTGGTCGAGTGTCACATTTTTTCATAGAAAGCCTCCTGATGAGCGCAAGAGAACCATTGGCAATGGCAGACCACTCCCCTCGCGCACCGCCGCAGCGGCAAAAGCTCGGTTCAGACGGCACGAGCTTAGCTGAATTATTGGAGGGCAATGGCAATGCACACTTGCTAAGACAAGGATCTCAAGACCAGACAAGGGAAGGTGCGAGAGAAGAGGACACGACAAGCAGCACTGCTACTACTTTTTCTCTATATAGATAGATTTGCACGGTGCCAAGGAAGATCTGTGCAGGTGTGTGGCAAAGATAATTTATCAGTAATTATTAACCGTGCGGCAAATATCAGATGGCGCATCGTAGTAGACCAGCAGGCCCACGACACTTGTCGGCGCCTACTGAATATGGACGGTACTGGCTGGCGGCACAGTGCGGCCAGTGCCAAGTAGTGGTGACGAGATCTCACACTGTGCGGCGCTGCTAATTCATTCCTTGCACTTGCAGGCTGCTGCCCAAGTTCCTTGTATGTACAGTTGCGTACCGACAGGGAGGTTGACTTCCTGGGCAGCGCATTCAGTCTGGTCTCTGGTGCAAGTGCAGAGTAGCATTGTTTTGAAGAGAAGTATACCTAACTGAACCCGTTAAAATTCCGAAGAAATTTTCAGCATGGGTGGTCGGCAGCAGAAATTGAGAAAGAGGTCACCAGACTTTTCACCTCGGGGCCCGCGTGTGTTAGAATATGTGAGAGGGGGAGCTAGATTTGGGAGGACGCTAGTGCGAGATGACGGGGCGCAGAGGTGTGGCTTCTAGACTGAAACTGCAAAGTCCAATCCGATCTACCTAGCTAGTTGTATTTTAGTGGAGAAGTATCACATTCCAAAATGGATTAGTCTTTGACCGTGTAAATTAAATTGACGAGTGTGGTCAATGCCGTAGGAGCGAAGAATTGCCGATTAAAGTAAGTTCAATCCAATTATTATACTACTACTGTAGAAAACAGCTTTGGGGTTCAGTGGTTTCTTGCGGAGGCTGTATAAACTAACTAATTATGCAGACTGAAGCGTCACCTAACCGCTACCGAACTCTGATAAGTTTCTTAAGTTTTGGATTAGGAGAGGAAAGATGAAGAAGACAATAATGAGCATGGCTAGGTATCTATCACTGGCCTGCTGAGTATGAAATTCTCTGTTCATCTAGGCAATTGTAGATTAACCTGAATAAACCTCAGCCACGCGCGTGTCACCTACCTAGAATTCTAGATACTGCTGTTTTGTCCCGCAGAGTTGAGTGGTAAAAACAATCCACGAGTGAATTCCGCAGTGATCATGGGAACTCAACTGACTAAACTGAAGTAGAAGGTGTCGCTCTGCGTGTGGCAACTATAAACCTCTAATTCAGCGCAACTGACTCAACTGATCAAACAGCCAGACACTGGAGAACTACGCATCTGATCCGCGTGCTAGCCGCGCCCAGGGCCACGGATCGAGCAATGGACGACGGCGAGGACTCGACCACGCGCGCACGAGAGAAGGGATCAGTACCTGTCTTGCGGGAGCGGACGCGGGTGGAGACGGCGGCGAGCGCGCGGCGCGCGGGGAAGACGACCTTCTTCCGCCACCAGGCCATCATCGCGCGCACGGGCGCCGGTATCCTCGCGGCGGCGGCCAGCCTCGACGCCCACCTCTCTCGCTCTTGCTGGGTATGGGATTTTGATCTCGAATCGAATTGAACGCGCCTCCCGACTGACACCGCGCGGGCTGATGGGTACTGTTGGGCTGCTGTTTATAGGCGAAGGCGGGGCAGCGGCGCTGGTTGTTGGTTGGTTGCACTCGCTGCGTTTTGGATTCGTGTGCTCTGCTCTGCCTTTTTTTATCTCTCGCGTGCCCCTTGCGTGCCTAGGGCTTTGCTGCTACCCCCACCCCAGGCCCGGCCCCTGGAAAATGTAGGGATGCATACAAGGGTCTAATTGCGTATTCCATCTGTCATGTTTATTGTTTAACCACGAATTTTAGGTCAAATTATCAATCATATATACTTGACTAGCCAAATATCTCTACTATATTGAAGGGAAGTTGGCGTTGTACGTCACCAAATGCGGTTTCGTCCCTCCCCCATGGTTTGGCATAATCTAAATCAAATCGATGTTTTTTTCCTTGTCCTACAGAAAACCCGGCATTAAATCAATCAAATCTTACTAAAATCATGTCCCGCATTAACTCAATTAAATCAAATAAAATCTTGGTAAAACCTTAACTAGATCAAATTTTATTTTTCTTCTCCTACCCGTACTCAAATCAAATCAAATCTTACCAAAATCTAGAATGAGATTTCCCACAAAAAAAAACTAGAATATGCCGGGTATAGCATATATGTCGAACACGATTGGTGTTGAACCACTAGAATATGTATGCTCCTATTTACAACACATGGACAATTAGCCATTTACTTTTATGGTGGAATAACTATACTTATATTTAGTCAAATCCATGGTCAGAGTTGATCCAAGATATAAGTATGACTAATAAACTTGGATAAATTAAGTACCCTAAACTGTTTCTTAATATTGTACTAAGTACAACATAGCATAGATGCACATAGGCCCACAGTCATCTACTGAATATTAGGCTGGTAAAGCTTCAAGATTAACGAAGTCACGATAAAGATCATGCTATCGACTATAATATTAGCATGCTGAAAATTTAAGGCGCTTTAATGAGATGCGAGTGCATTGAATGCACGATTTAGTCCATGATGAACTAGGCATTCAACCAATGTTTCGATCTTGAGCCACGCTAAACTACAGAGATTTCAACATGTGGTACGTTTACACATCAACCCGTCTCCTACTGTCCCGCCACCCTCCCCATGACCTCGTTCATCAAAGTGTGCTAGGGTGTGTTAGGATTGTTTTCTTATTGCTCCCTCCGTCCGGGTTTATTGGGCCTATTGACCAAAACACAAAGACCAAGGAAGAATATTATTGGTAGGCACTTGTGAATTCCAAAGCATCACAGCAGCCGGTTGCCCGCTCCGCTTTTGCATGCAACCAACTACACACATGTACAGCGCTAGGTAGTTATTGCCTACAGCTGGTTGCATGCTACTTTTCTACATGCAGCGATTCAATGGAAGCAGCAGCCCAATCGTGCGCGAGTTCGGCGGAGGAGATCGAGGAAAGCATACACGTATATCTAGAGGGGCCTTAGAAAAACATACTATGGCAAAGTTGCTAAAAGGCCTAATAAACCCGGACGGAGGGAGTAATAGCTTAATCATGTGATTATTTTTTTTAGTAAAATGCAGGTTCTGCAGAAGATGTATATTTTGTGGCTCCTTGCAGATTAGGGACAGGCTACTAGGATGTTATTATTGCCAACATAACACAATCATCTTACGCATTCAATTATGGAAAATTCTAGAGTGTGGCATGTTGAATTTCGTAGAAAACACGTCTGGGACTGTTTCTTGATGTATCCATAACATTTGAAGAGGGTGAATTCATGCTAAATATAATGAAGTGGCTTCTAGTAGAATGTGATTTCCGCATAAATGTATATTTTGTGGCTCGTCGCGGACTATTGACGGGCTAGGTACTTGGATGGTATTTCCAAAAAGGCACACGCCAATGCACAAGCTTCACCTGCATTCAGTTATGGAAAGTTATACAAAGTGACTTGTTGAGTTCCATGGAAAACACATTCAGAGATTGTTTTTTCCGATGTGTCCATAAATTTAAAGAGGATGAAGGCACGCAAAAAAAGTGAACTTTAGTAGAATGCAAGTTCAACAGAAGATGTCGTGACCTCTTGAATTTTGTGTAAAACACGTTAAGGATTTGTTTTCTTCGATGGCCCATAAGATTTGAAGAGGGCGAAGGCATGCAAAATAAAAGTGAATTTTGGTATGGTGCAATTTCGGTAGAAGATGTCGTGACATATTGAATTTCGTAGTCAACATGTTCTAGTGTTTGGTATCTTTGATGATCCATCAGATTTGAAGATGATGAAGGCATGCAAAACAAAGTGAATTTTAGTATGATGCAAGTTTTGTGAGAAATGTACATTTTGTGACTCGTCGCGGACTATTGACGGGCTAGCTACTTGGATGGTATTGCCAAAAGGCACGCAACAACACAGAAGCATCTCGTGCATTTCAGTTATGGAAATTCTAGATCGTGACATGTTAAATTTTTTGTAAAACACATTTCAAGATTATTATTTTTACGTTTCCATAAAATTTGAAGAGAAGGCACACAAGTAAAAGTCAATTTTAGTACAATGCAATTTCGGCAGAAAATGTCGTGACGTATTGAACTTCATAGGTAGCATGTTCTGGAGTTTGGTTTCTTCCATGATCCATAAGATTTGAAGATGGTACGGTGCAAGGTTTGCATGAGTTGTACATTTTATGGCTTGTCGTGGACTATTGACGGGCTAGCTACTTTGATGGAATTGCCAAAAGGACGATGGTGCATTCAGATGTGGGAAATTTTAGAGCAATAATACCGTGTCACGACGCTCGTAGTTTTTTCACGGTAGAATGCACAAGGGGCCAACGTATCATAAAATTCAGGAATAAGGAAGATGTAAGAGCAAGATATCGTGACCTGTTGAATTCCATAGAAAACCTGTTTCGAATGTTTTTTTCTTCCATGCTCCATAAAATTTAAAGATGTTGAAAGCACACAAGATAATGTGAATTCTTCGTGAGTTTATACATTTGTAAGTGTTGTACCCCTCCGGTGGTCTAACTTTTTTTTTTGAACCGGATGCATGTAGACACGTGTTAGTGTGTTTGCTCATTAATTTTAGTATGGATGTAGTCCGTTTTGAAATGTCGTGACCTATTAGCTTATAGAGGGAGTACGGAGGAAGTAGTCCATAGACCAACATAGTGCATTTTTTGTTTTATATCTTTGCACCAACCCTTGGGCGACATGTCACTGCTACTCTGCTAGGACGATGATGAGCAGATCACCGACTCCCCTTCACTCTGCTGGGTGGCCACAGCATTTTGAGCTTATCGTTTCCAGGCCCACGCACGGGGCTTTAACCTCCGCCTCACATGGTGGCACGTGGGGAGCTCCTATTCGCTCAAGTCAACCACGGCGTACTCCACCCGACGACGCTTCCGGGAGCACGTTTCCGTCGGACCCGAATGTTCTTTCCAAAAATCCTGAAATCTACGTGCCTTCAATTCAGTCTCCCGTGTCCGGCTACGTGCACCGGTATCTTCGAAATCTCGCCCGCCTCGAAGAGCGGGCATGTGCCAGTAGTATCTTTCGGACGTGCGATGGTTTGTACGCACCGGTAAAGTCGTGTGGCCATAACGAGCAAACCGTACGCAGACATATATCTCCGGACGGAGATCTGCCGACGTACACGGGCATCCGGAACGAGACAGCCGACCGGTCACGCTTCCGCGGCCGCTCATGCGTCGGGGGAGGGGGCGATGGGTCGTGGCGGCACGGCGAGACGGACGCTTGTGAGCCGCGCGCGTGGCGTGCGTGCGTGCGGCGCGGGCGTTGCCGGACCCCAGCCGGCGGGGACAGGGAACTGACTGGGCCGACCGCGACCTGCGTTGTCGTCTCTTGCCAATATGATGTCGTTGGAGTGCTATTGCATATCCGCACGAGGGCGGAGCTGCTCGGCGACGGCGACCTCTGGCGACTGGCGGTGTGGCCGTACGCTGACGAGCAGTAATGATCGCCGTCCGTTCCGTTGCATCAAAGGGTTTGGACGGTTGGTGAAGTTTGACGCATGCAAGAGCAAAAATGCTAGACATACAAAGATTTGTAAAAGCATGTAAACTGTTTCCATCTAACAACCAATCACAAACCTCTCCCCCTGATTTTCAGCGGGGTGGACCGTCCCGCTCACCTGTTGGCCAATGAAAACTAACCCATCCTGTAAAAGCCTGTAAACTGTTTGTACGTGTAGCATTGCCGATGCAAGAGCTAGGTCCATAGTTCAAAAAGCATGGTTCGGCTGGCAAACGACCGATTACTACTCTTTTCTTATACTACCATAGTGGAAGTAGCATAGGTAATAACATCACACATATCTAGATAAAATAGATGATGTGACAAGCAATAAAAGAGAGGCATGTGGTAACATAACTACTTCCTCCGTCCCATAATATAAGAACGTTTTTGACACTAGTGTCCCGTAATAGGGAGTAGTTACTACTAGTATGAGTAACATCACACATTTCAAGGCAAGATGAGTCTATAGTCTAATAAATAAAGTGTTGCATGTTACCACACATATATTACTCCCCATTATAGATGGAATAACATAGAGTAGTAACATATCGCATGGGCATGTTACTACTCTATGGGGCTGTTTGGATTTGTGACTATGTTTGCTATATATTACCACATTATTTTTGCGACACTTGTCTAACTTGAGTTGCTTAAATTGTTAGCCACACTTTGGCTTGCATAAGAGAATCTTGCCACACTTTTTGTGTCTATGGCATGTGGGGTTCACTTCTTACAAAATAATTCTTGCCTTAGGTGTGGCTAAAATCAAACACCCACATAACTTGCTCAAATCTGTCTAAGATGAGGTGTGGCAAAGTGTGGCAAGATGTGGCTAGAAACCAAACAACCCCTATGTTACTACCCA